ACGCCTTCTTGGATTGATCTTAGAACCTTTAAGTCACCGGGAGGCACTAAGCAACGAAGATGTGGTCCGATGTAGGATTTTCGAACAAGAATGTTATTCCATATGTAGAAGCAAGCCGTCTTTATTTATAGTTTTCTAGACTCCAACCTTTCCATGGGGAGTGTGCCATTCACTAGGTAGTCTATAATAGAGCTTTGCCGGTTGGGAGTTATACTAACCTGTGACACTTCGGCTGCCGGCTCCGCCTCTATGGTTAGCTTGTCTATGTATTCCACCGGTATAGAGTGTTTGAGTTGGTGGTCGAGGACAGAGCCTAAGTCGACTAGCGTGTCTACATTGGAGTTGTCTACCCTTAAAACTTGAGTGAGAGTGTAAGTCTGAAATGCCTTAAGTTGCTTGCGTACCTTCTCTACGTATTACACCATCCTTGGATGCTTTGCCGTGTACTCCCCAATAGTCTGGCTAGTGATTGGTTGGGAATCAGAATGAATTACAAGCTTTTTCACCGCCAAGTCTTTTGCCATTCGGAGGCCTGCTAGTAGGACCTCATACTTTGCTTTGTTGTTAGATGCTTTGAAGCCTAGAGTGATTGCCTACTCAAGCATTGAACCGTTTGGGGTGACAAGGACCACGCCTGCTCTTGAGCCTTTATAGTTGGATGTACCATCGACAAGCAAATGCCAGAAGTCTCCATTGGAGGGAGTAGGCATGGCTAAGGTGTGTTTGGATACTTCTGAGGCATTGTTGGGCTGCTCTGTTGTGTTGCCTAGGCTAGGCATGAATTTCGATATGCAGTCCACTAAGGCTCGGGCCTTTATCGTCGTGCGGGGTCGAAAAACTAAACCGTATTGGCCAAGTTCCAACGCCTATTTCATTACTCATTGAGAAGTATCCGGACCATGTAGGATTGATCGTAGAGGATATTAAGTCATGACGACGACTGTGTGAGCTTGAAAATATGATCTGAGCTTCCGAACCACAACAATTAGCTCCAAAATTAATTTCTCGATCTTTGGATATCTAGTTTCCACATCGAGAAGAGCTTTAGAAGTGTAAAATATCTGCAGTTGGGCCCCCAACTCTTCTCATATAAGGGCAGAGCTCATTGTTACTTCGAAGACTACCAAATAGATGTATAAGTTTTCCACTGCTTCCAGCTTGGATTGTAAAAGAGGTGATGTGAGATACTTTTTCAGGTCTTAGAAAGCTCTTTTGTACTCATCATCCCATTTGTCTCGTTGTGCTTTCTTGATGGCCTTGAAAAAGGGTTTGCATCGATCAGAGGACCATGAGAGAAAACGGTTGAGGGCGGATGCTCGTTCGGTCAAGCTTTGGATCTTCTTCAATGTGGTTGGAGATTTCATCTCTAGGATCACTCGGATTTGCATGGGATGTGCTTCGATTCCTGGTTGGCTTACTAGGTACCCTAAAAATCTGTCTGAAAATACTCTAAATGTGCATTTGGTGGGATTGAGCTTCATCTTGTACTTTCTAAGAATATCGAAAGTTTCCACCAGGTTGTCGATGTGGTTTGACCGTTGCTTGCCCTTAACCATGATGTCCTCGACATAGACTTCCATGTTTACTCCAATTTGCTTCTTGAACATCATGTTGACTAACCTTTGGTAAGTGGCTCTTGCATTCTTGAGGCCAAAGGGTATGACCTTGTAGCAGTAGATGCCTTGCTCGATCATGAACGCTGTTTTCTCCTTGTCGGGTTCATATATGGCTATTTGGTTGTAGCTGGAGTAGGCATTCAACAAACTGACCAACTGGTTCCTAGAAGTCAAATCTACTAATTGATCGATTCGGGGAAATGGATAAGGATCCTTTGGGCTTGCTTTGTTAAGGTCGGTGTAGTCTACGCAACTCTCAATTTGCCCTTCTATTTCTTCTTTACTAGCACGACATTGGCAAGCCATGTTGAGTATGTTACCTTTTCTATGAATCCAATGTCGAGTATCTTGTCAATTTTCGCTTCGATGATCCCCACTCACTCGGGTGTGAAATGTCTTCTCTTTTGGATCACCAGTTTGGCAACGGGGGGCGACGTGTAGCTTGTGGCAAGCTATCTCGGGGTTGATGTTAGGCATGTCAGAAGGTGACCACGTAAAGACGTCACGATTTTCCCTAAGAAAAGCCGTGAGTTTTTCCTTCTCTATTTTTGGATCGCATCATATCCATTAGAGTTTGATTTCTTCTTTCTGCAATACCATTTTGTTACGATGTATAAGGCATAGTATAATTATGCCTTATACCATTCTCTTCGCAGAAATCATCACAGGCTTCAATTTCTGCACCTCTATCACTATTAAGGGTCTTTATGGATCTTCCTAATTGGTTATCTACTTCTGCCTTAAACTCTTTAAATTTGTCTAAGGCTTCATTTTTATGTTGCGAGAAGTAGACAAGTCCATAACGGGAATAATCATCAATGAAAGTCAAAAAATATTTCATTCCTTTATGGGTTTTAGTTCTCATTGGTCCACATAAATCTGTATTCACTATCTCAAGTAAATTGTAGAAGTCCAATGCTGAAAAAATGATTTTCTAGTCATTTTTCCTTTAATACATGATTCACATGTATCAAAATCATATGCATTTACTTGAGGCAACATTCCATTTTTACTCATGCGTATCATTTTATTTCTATTTATGTGACCTAAACATAAATGCCATAAATATGACAAATTTTGAACAGTAGAGACAAAGGCATACTCGGAAGAAATACTTTTATTAATACAAACTGAGTACATATCATTAACTATTATTCCCCTTACATAAATATAACCCTTTTTCCCAATAGTGACAACACCATTCATGAACCTTGTCTCAAAACCTTTTTTTTCTAAGACAGAGACAGAGACAAGATTCCTCCTTATATTTGGTGCAAACAGAACATTTTTAATCACAATGGTAGATATACTATTGTTGATCTTGCAATCTCCTTCACCCAGAACATCGACATAAATATTATTACCCATGTAGAGACGATGTTCTCTTAGTGCTTTCTCCTTGAAATTGATGAAGCAACTTTTTTCCTTGCATACATGATGAGTTGCTCCTGAGTCTATCCACCATTGTCCTTGATCTTCAACAATGAGTGCTTCGAAGACATTCAAAATAAATTCTTTAGGATTTTTGTTGTTCTTTCATCGTTTTAGGCACTTATACCTATAATGACCAGTCTCTCCACAATTGTAACATGCACTCTCCTTCCTTTAAACTTGTTCTACTTGCAGTGTGCAAACTTTTTGAAGTTTGGGTGCTTGTTACTACTATGCGGCTTGTGCATGTGTTGCTTGTTTTTCTGAGAATCTTCCGCTATGTGGAGGTTGGCTCTGCCATGTCTAGTTTCCTTTTTCCTATAATTTTTATGAACTTCTTCAATAGCCAACATTGCAGGCAACGTATCCATTGTTAATTCAACTTGACCATAAGTCATGGAAGTAACTACATTTTCCCAAAAATTTGGGAGGCTACCAAGAAGAACACTAACTTGTATTTTATCAGAAACTGGATGGTCAGCATTGACCAAGTCTTTTGCCATTACTTGCATTTTAGTAATATGATCGACCATAGAATCAGTTTCCTCTATTTTTGTCCCATTGTATTTCTCAAGCAATAACGGAATGTGCGTTTGAGATTTAGGGCCATACTTCTTTTCAAGTACATTCATGATTTTTTTTGGCCAAATCATATTCTTCATAGAGAGGTATTAATTTATCTTCCATGTAATTGAGGATTGTGGCCTTAGCCAACTCATTATCTTCCACCCATTTATTATAAACTAGAGAGGGGCCAAGGGGTCTCTAGTCCTTGATAGTGTACAAAGTCTTGTCATAGGTTAAAAGATAAGTTATCATTCTCTTCCATATTCGATAATTAACGTTATTCAACCACTCTATTTTAAAAACTTTGGATTTGGAAGATTTAGTTGCCTTAACTTAGAAAATTACAAAACAAACACAATACTTAATACAAATACAAATACTACTAGTGCACTTTTAATTATTACAAGCCACAAATACTAACTACTAGTGTACTTTTAATTATTACAAGCAACAAATACTAAATGTTCTTAATAAATTAAAGACTAAAAATAAAATAAAAATAAAAATAGAGACTTATTTATTTTTAGCAGCAAATACCCCATGCACTCACAAGGGCTTTGTCCAATTAGTGAAAGATGAGTACTTGTTCAGGCGATCACGTTAATAGAAGGCTTGTGGATTTCTTGCTTGTCTACTTGGCTAGGCGTGATCAACTCTTTCTCTATTTTCATACACAAAAGCAGCCTCTTCTCGTCTAGTGGATTATGTTTCAATTCTCTGTGACCTTGGTCCCCTTAAATTTCTTGCAATTGAAATTTCTCTTTGTGCCAAATCAGGATATATAAAATCATAACAAGTATTATATTGATCCAAATGATTTAGCACTCTAACTTTTGGATTCCTAAAATTAAAGGAAAACTAATGAAAAGAGCTTGAAAACTTTGAGTTTTAACGATAAGGACAAAATAAAGAGTAAAGTGAACAGTACCAGGTTTGACTTTTTAGTGTAAAAAATATGATTTTTCGTTAAACTGAACAGTACCGTGGACTTTTCGTTAAAAATTCCTAAAGTTAAACCTTTGCTTCCACTTTTGGTCTTTGTGATTGTTATTCAAAGTATTCCACAAATCAACCTTATGAATAAAATTATTAAGGAAAACTGGATGAATAAAACCTGAGTTTGAATTGAAGGGAACTGCCTAGGTTGTAGGAAAAGGTTGCGAGTGGCTTCTCGAATCTGGCCTGCTTGAAGATGACCCCACCTCACAGGACCTGTGAATTGGACTTTCTTGTAAACAGATTATTATTGTCTTCTGGTCCTTCACGTGCACTATCACAGTGCTCAGAATTAAAAGAAAATCTTTTGTTTCTTTGAACCGAACAATCTTTAATAATGGAGAAATTCCTTTCTTGACTTTGACTTTGTGATGGACACCACTTGACAATTCTTCTTGGAGGATAACGGTGATGTCGACGTGGTTTATTACCACGAGAGCACGAGACCGCAGCTGGAGGACGTGACCACGGTGGGAGAATACGACCACGCTCTTGAATATTATCTGTCGATGGGATGCTGTGGCGAGTCCACGGTGGAAGGCAAGACCACAGTGGAGGCAGAGGGTGTGAAGGGCATATTTTTTGAGGGGAAAATTGCAAGTTCAAATTCGGATTTGTAGTAATCTGAGAGCAACTTTGAACCAGACTTGATGGTGCAGGTAAATCCCTTGGGCTTGGTTATCAAAATGTAGAAAAAGGATCAGCACTTGTAGTTTCAATTTCTTGTGCAAATTCAGTTTTTGCAGTCGGCATCAGCACTTGTCGTTTCAATTTCTTGTGCAGATTCAGTTTTTGCAGCCAGCAATGCCGACTGCAATGGGTTTTTTGAGGTTCTAATAGGATTGAATAAACCCTCTGGATGCAATTCGTTAAAATTCTGATAATGGTAATTATATTCAGGGAGTGAACTTAGTGAATTTGAACGCAAAAATGGTTCAATGATATATTGAGTTTTGTTCTCTATCGAATGAAATGATAGATTGAGTTTTGTTTTATCTTCAACTAGGTTGAGTGTCCTGGCAAAGTTCTTATCGAGGTCTATGTAAGCACATTATCTTTAAAGATTGTATGTTATCGTATATGAATTAATGAATATCGTACTTTTTAAAAAAGAATAAATAAATAAACAAAAGTAAATATTAAACCTAGAGCAAAGCATTTCTCCAAAGTTCTAGAATCGACCCGTTCAACATGGATCATGTAAATATAAACCGCTGGATGTGTGGCAAAAGAGTCAAAAGCCAAGGATGTCTTGCGAAGTTATTTAGTAGACACCATTTATGCCTTGCAGTACTGCTCCTGCCTCCAAGTTCAGAGCTTGAAATGTGTTAAGACAGAGGTTCCTTCAAACCCTTTAGAATCGAAGTGGGCATTAGAGTTTAAATCACTTTACCATGAAACAAAAAGTTCAACCTAACTATTTGTTATCGTTTTTATCGAAGGGATATGTGATGATTGCACATCCTTTCTTCCTTTCAGATTTTGTGGCGTTGGACTAACTCAGTTCAAAACTATTCCGGTAGACCCCTAATTTCGACAATGACACAACCTTTCTGACGAATATGGCATGATCTCAACACGAGGAGAAGTACACCCCTAGAAAAGGAGTAAAAGTTTTTAGAACTGAGTCTCAAGTTCCATCGGAGTTCTGAGCTTGAATATGAATCATAATGGTTTTACAATGCAACATAGCGATCATGCTACAACACCACTTGCGAAGAAGTTGAAAAGAAAAGCTGAAAATTTTCAAACAGGAGTATGAAAGAAAGTTCAGTACTTTTTTAACAGAAGTAGATTGGAGATTTTTTTAGGAGACAAATGAAGAGATTCGAGAATATTTAAAGAAGGTATTTTGGAGTCACCCTACCGTTGGATATGAATCCTCGCATCTCGAGATCAACAAATATGACAGTTGAGTTTAACTGGAGAAAGCAACGGACAAAGACTCGTTTTCTATGCACACGCATCTGAGACAATCCTCATCATTGCAATAGTGATGACACCATTCATGAGGTACCATCATTCTATTCCACAAAATATGAAAACCTAATCCAGCAAAGAATCAGCAAGCTTCCTATAATCTTGGAGTCCTCACAATCCAAGGATTGGATTGTGCCACAAGTAATCACACTCATAAGAGAATGCAACATATATCACTAGATATCCTTTGGGATTCTCCCAGTTTAACAAGGATTTTACTATCCTAAATGATCCTCTCATCGACTAGTATAAATATACCTTTCTAGGATTCATCTCAAGTAATGCAATCCTTTTATACTTATTTTCTTTCCTACTGCTTGAGTCTTAATTTGCTTACTAACTTGACCATTGGAGAGCTTTTAACTAGCATACCCCCCTAGTCTTTGGCTTATTCACAGCTTTTTGCTATTTTACAGATACTTGAATTTGAGCATCTCCACCCTATAGCGGTGCGCAAATTTAGTTCCAACAAAAGTCATCTAAATTTAGATGCCATTACACATTATGATCCCTCCAATTAATCGATGGTGCTGTATATAGATTGAAGTTGCTTTTGCACAGTAGAGGTCTGAAGTAATCCCTAGAATAAGCTCTTTCTTCAGTTGGTCACCTTGCCCAAAAAAACCCATGTACTCCATCCTTCATCTCCTCCAGAACACCAATAGGTATTTTATGATTGACAATTTGAAAGAAGCCCCAAGCCTCTGATGCCTTTCCTACTTTGGCAACAATCTCCTTGCGGTTAGTTAAACGGACTGTCAAGTTCAAGGCCTTGACTGTATATGATTAGAATGCTAAACTGGCTGATTTCTGCATCGGAGATGGTACTGTTTATGGAGTACTGATCGCCTGGTTCGGGTGCTTGGTGAAAAATCCGAGGGACTTGGGCTATCCCGGCGTCAACGAGCCCTTTAACACCTTCCTTTGTTTCATAAAAAATTTTACTTACACTTGGTCTATGATAATTTGTTGGAACTTCATTTGTAGTGCTGGTAGGTATCGTTTTGCTGGTTTAGTGGTTATCAGATTCAATATGATTAATTCTGGAAGAATGCATCATTATAGATAGTGAAGTTGGAAGAATGCATCATATTTATGTAAGTTAATATTCATTTTGGGTTAACTATTTAGAGTTCAGACAAATAATATTAGACACGGGCATGTGATATTTTAGTTCAATATTTCAAAATTAGGTTTAGTTGGATCCTAATCAATTGATCAAGACTTCAACTTTCACTTAAAAAAAAAAAATAATCACCTTGTTGGACGGAAAATTTTTGTTGGGTCAAAGGAGGTTTCATCGCTTGAAACTTTTGCCAATAGAAGTTCGTCGGGAAAAATTGGTCGTGCAAAACCCTCACTTGAAGTCCTACCCAACGAAAAGTAGTCATTCGTCATGCGAAATTGAGTTTGCCCAACAAAAGAAGTTGTCGGGTAAAAGTATGTTGACCGTTTTTACACAACGAAAATATCTTATACGACGACATCGTTTCGTCACCCCACACCAAATTCAAAACTATTAAACTTTGACGCAACGAAATTTCGTTGAGCAATTGTTTAAAACCAAAATAAAATAAATAAAATAAAGTTTGATCCACAAATAAATTCATCGGGCTAACCTTTTTAACTTTTTTTTTTAAAAAAAAAATCGGTAATAAAACAATTTTAGTATAAAAAATTTATTCAATTACAAATGTATTAATTTAAAAAGCTAAAATTAATGCAACTTAAAAATAAAAAAGTTTAATTATATTCAAAATAAAATTATTTGTACAATTATGTTAAAAAAAAATAAAAAAAACACTAAACTACTCGAGTGGCTACTGAGGTGGCTGGGGAATGACATCTGAAGATCGCTCGGGGGCTTGGTTGCGAGTAGCAGCTTCTTGCTCATGTACGGCTTCTTCTCTCAGGTGCCCTGTCTTTTCTTTTTGACGCTCATCTTTTTCTCTTTGGCATACTAGATGAAGAAGAAGACCCCTCGAGGTCCCAAACACGACCCGTTCCTAGACTACGGACTTTCTTGCCTTTCCGTTACTCAACACCATCCATCAACAACTGTATAGACATCTCTCGATTAGGTGTCAACTTTCCCATATGCACGTTCGATTGCTGATGAGAAAGGTTGAGAGGTACTCATCCTTTTTCTACGTCAAAGACGTCTACAAAAAAAAAAAAAAAAAAAAAAAAACCAATTAGGCTCATCACAAATAGACAAGTCATCAATGACATATGACACAAATCAAGTAAAGGAAGCTCAAAAGCATTCCTAAAATTCGGCAAAGGGGAAGAAATCTCCTCAAAATCGTTAAGGGGGCCAAATTGCTCCCAAAACCAAAAAGAAAGCTAAGGCATCTTCATTAAACAAGCAAAAATTGAAGATTACTCACAAAATAAGCAACAAGCCCTATAATTCGGCCAAGCAAGGGAAAGTGGCTGAGATTAAGACACAAAACATGCCTAAATTCTCCCATGGATGAATCAAGACACAAATCAAGCCTAAATCCACCCAAAGGCATGGCTTTGGATGTCTATAAATACAAGGATCCAAGACACTTAAAGGGGCCAAAAATCCTACATTCAAAAGAACCTCTGCACAAATCTTTCAAGATTAATACATTGCCAAAGCTCTCTTTGAAGAACTCACAACCAAAGCCGAAACAATTCCTTCAAGACTTTGCTTGCAAGCTCAAAACTTGTAACGACGTTTATTCCAAGATCAAGTCGTCAAGACCTTTGAATCAACGAAATTCTACATCAACACTCCCTTTGCCGCAACCCAAAACCTGAGGTGAAGACTATCCACATATTGTTTCAAGCTCAAAACTTGAAGTAATCGTTTAATCGTTTGTCTGAGATCAAGTCATCGCAACTCTTGAATCAACAACCTACGCATCTGCATCAAATTTGAAGACTAAATCAAAGGAAAATTGTAAATAGAGATTGTAACGCTACAAATTCAAATCAATACAAATCTACTTTGTACAGGTGTTCTCGTTTCATTCGTTACAAATTTTTCGTGTTTACAAGCACATAAACTCATCACTTTTTGTTATGATCACCAAATTTTGAAAAAAAAGAAAAGAAGACATGAGTGAGAACAAATTCAACCATCTAAGAACAATTTGAATGAGGATCATTCGACACAAAGTTATGATGACAAGCATAATTGCCTCCCATTGTAGCCCAAAAACTTAAGTTGACAAAGACAATGGACACAAATAGAACAAAAACTGCAATTAATTAACAATGTCAACATCCTCATCTGTAATAAACATTTTAAACAACAACAAATAGTCAGTAATGCAGAGTTGTAAAAGGTACCTTAATAAGAAGAGACGCAGGTAGATTACCTTAAGAGCTCTTTCAGCGTAAAAAATGAAAATGCTCAAGTAGGCTAACTAGAAAACAGTCCAACTGAATTGACTGTAGTCCCAATATAATGCCACTCTTCACTATAGGCATTCCATACGAGCAACATATCAAGCATTTCAAAAGTCCATATATGTAAGGCATTCAACAAAATTATTTTGTTGACTTGTTCCTGATAAATCTGTTAAATGTTCACCTGGAATTAGAACATCAAAGATTCAACAATCAGTAGGGAAATGCAAAATATTGAATATTAATTAAGTCCATGAACTAAAAATTTCATAAATGGCTCTTAAATATTGAACCCTAAAATTTCAAACATCAAAGATAACATATCTGAACAATGGAAGATCAAGTCAATTACCCACCCAAGGTTACTACAACATGAAGCACAACCACTTTGCATCACTCATAGAGAACACAAAATTTTAAATAAACCCATTAGTCAAAATTGAAAATTTCATAAGAAATCGAGAAAGAAACACTAATTTACTGATAAAATTCAAGAATTTTAGTCAAATCCAAAACATAAAAATTCAAATTCATA